AGCTGGTAACATTGGCTCTTCAGCAGCCTCCCTGCGGCGGTACGTGTAGCCGTAGCCAAGGAGCCTGGGGGTGCCGGCCTCGGCTCACCCCGCCAGCTTGCTTCCCGCCCCAGCAGAAAGCTGCTAGGCATGCACAGGCAGCGCCTACCCACTGTCTGAAGCCTTCCCGCGGACTTGGGGAAGGGGAATGTCTCGGTTCCAGATCTTGGCATGAGGTTAATGTGATGCTGCTTGGCAGTGGCGAGAAAGAGAGACTCCGAGGGCATACGTCAAATTTTGGCATCAGGGAACTCACAGTTCAGGTAGAAAAGGTACTGCAGAGCTTAGTAGAGTTGGGCAACAAATGAACATGGGTTTTCAATGTCGTAATTTAGGATATGATGTTGTTTAAATCTCGTGTTATGTTGGCTCTTGAACTTCGCCTCTCGCTTCTAGTGACCTCTAGTCTTAATATATATTAGTTATGAGATACAAATAGCAAAGAGGATCCCCACTAAGAATTCTTGGCCCATAAAAGAAGATTGCAGGTTGATCTAGAAAACAAGTGGGAAGAGCATGAGGCTGGGGTGAGACAAAGGCATCGAGTACCTTTATCGCTCTAGCTCCTATGGCTGCAGTGGCACTGATCAATAAAACAGGGCCAAGGCTTATGTTTGCAGAGTGCTTAGTTGTTAGCAGGGCCCTTGGCATGCCTTTGGCCTGACTGACTGACTTGCTGCCAGCAAGTGTCCAAGCACAGTTTGGGAATAGCGCGTGCTGGGGACTCTTCTTACCCTTTGGCGAGAGTGCAATGAAACGCAGGTCTGTGTGTGGATGTGACCCCGGCCACAGCACTGGCTGTTGGAGCCAGAGAATGGTCCACAGCCTGTTTTGTCTATGCTAGCAAGTATAGATAGATACAGATATAGATGTAGATACACAGCCTGAGAGAGAGGATTCCTTCCCTGCACCCTTCTCATTCCTGTCTTTACGCTGAATTCAAAGAGCAAAGATCCCGGGGTGATTTCGGCGTGCCTGGGAGAACAGCTCGTGGGTTTGTGCACCAGAAGAGCAGCCTGTGCCAATCTTAACATGTGGACTTTCAGCCAGTCAGCTGTCAGCTCTGCGCCTCTTTTTCTTCCCACCTGTGTAATGATAGTGACCTCCTATAGAAAAACATTTGCTCATGAGGTGATGGCAAATGCTCCAAGGTAACTGCCGTCTTCTGTTTAATTTCTGCATTGACTCTGAGGTGCCAGCGGTATGAAAGTCCCTATGTAAGAACAAAAGAACGTGTTGTTACCAGTGAGGAAGAACTGTTCCCATTCGGGTCAGCTCGGCCATCCAAAAGCATCACAAGAAACAGGCTGATGAAGCAAGGGGCCACACTGCCCCTCGGATTGCTTGTTGCAGACGATGGTCCCTGCCTCACCCCTGATGAGGAAAGGGAGTGCTGCTGCAGCAGCCTGGGAAGCCATCCAGCGGGACGGTCATCTGTGTGAGCGCATCCCTGGGAATGCTGGCTGCCTGTGCCCGCTCCTCCTCCCCTTCTGCTGCCGCGCAGGATTTCGCAGATGTTCCTCCCAGAGAAGGCAGCTGCAGCTCTCAGCCTCCCTCCCGGTTTCCATCTCCCCGGTGGTCTGGCTCCAGCCGGCTGTGGTGGAGCTGCTGCTCGTTCCTCCCTTCCCCAGCCCGGCCTTTCACAAGGACTGAGCAGCAGTAGTCAGAGGAAGAGGAATTACTCTATGCCTTTCCCCCCCCTTTCCTCTCATCTCCTGGCTTGTGTAGCTGTGCCCTTCCCTTTTTTCCTTAGTGTTTCCGATCCCTGTTTCTTAAACAGCGTGTAAACAACCAAGAAAAAACTCGAGTGTGTAGATAATCCATATTTACAGTCGGATATGGCCTTACAGTTTACACAGCAGCCTGAGATGTAAATACGGGTTGGGGTTTTTCTCCGTGCTTAAGGAAAATGGCCTCCTAGAACTTAAACTGAAGGAAGGATTTGCATCAGTTTTTATTCTCCTGCTTTTATGATGATCTTTTTTTGCCCTTGCAAGGGGGTTTGGATCTCTTCACTCCCCATGCAAGGACGGTGTAGCTGTGTGCACGCATGCGCATCGCCTTGAAAACGCATTTCATCTGTTTACAAGTTTCAGTTTAAGGGCAAAACCCTAAGGCAAGAAAATGCGTCATCTCAGGACTGTTGTGACCCTAGGGTATGTCCACGCCGCATTTGGGAAATGCGATGACTGCATGCCTAGGCCTACTCAAAGTCATTTTTATACAGCTAGCTCAGATACACCCGTGTCTGAAGCGAACTGAAGAAACACCAGTTACTTGCAGAACTTTGCTGGGTTTGGAGTCTGCTGGCAGCAGTCCTCACAAAGGTTTTTCCCATCATGTTTTTTTCCCAACGTGTTTTGTTTCCCATCCCTCCCGGAGCATAAGTTTTAGGTCAGACCTAGGACGTCTTCTCAGGGTTGCAGAAATTCACCAAGCCGTAATACTGCTTTGCAGCACTAGAGCCAAAAAAAGCCATTATTACTGGTTGTGCCACTTCCCATCCCTAAAGCACGCTGGGCCGAAGAGCATGAAGCAATCGGCGGCTGAATAGCGAGCGCAAAGTTGTATTTACCCTGTGGGCCTGCATTTGGCAGCACAGCCCTAGCACGGGAATAGTCGGCGCTACACGGCTAGCAACGAACAGGGACAATCTGAAACGCTGGCTGG